CGAGACTCAAGACATGTGACTCAAGCCTCAAGACTCGAGACTTAAGACTCAAGCCTTAAATTCAAGACCCAAGACTTGAGACCTAAGATGTGTGACTTTAGCCTTAAGACTCGAGACTTGAGACACGAGAATTGAGACTCAAAACTCGAGCCTTCTATTTGGAGATAAAGTCTCAAGTCTTAAGTCTCGAGTCTTGAGGCTCGATGCTCATGGCTATGTGCATAAGGCTCAAGCTTGAGTCAAAAGACTCAAGTCTCAAGTCTTAAGTCCCAAGCCTCAATCCTTAGGTCACACATCTCGGTTCCTAATTTTTAGATCTCGGTTCTTGGGTCTTGAGTCTCATGTTTTATGGTTCTAAATTAGGGGTTTAGGGCTTGAGGCTCAAGTCTCAAGTCTTGGGTCTCTAAGCTCTAAGTCCTAGGGTCAGGGCTTGTGGTTTGATGTTTATGTTTCATGTCATGTGTCTCGAGTCTTAAGCGTCGAGGTTTGGCTTTTAGGGCTTTGGCTTGGGGCTCCAATCATAAGTCTTGAAACTCGTGTCTTGGGTCTCATTTTTTGAGTCTAAAGTCTCAAGTCTTAAGTCTTTGGGTTCAAGGCTCAGTTTTTGATTCTTTAATCTTAAGTCTCGAGGCTTAGGTCTTACGTATCGAGTCTTAAAGCTTGGGTTAGGTTTTTCTTCTTGAGTTTAAGTTCTTGTGTCTCAAGTCTTTAAGATTGGTTCTTGGGGCTTTACTTGGTTCTTTGCTATGCATTGGTAAGTTGAATCACATGATTCTTTCCTTCATATGGCCTAACATGAAGGATCACAAGATATTTCAATTGAAATTCACGTGCAACTAAATCAAGGATTGCTATCCTATATATCAATTGTAGTAAGCGTTAGTGTGATTAATGAATAATGAAATTAGGTAAGTTAATTCATGCAGTCAAATCGACTTGTATGAAATAATATTCCTGGAATCAAATTACAAATTTATAATAACTAAAAACGCACTTAATAAATAGCTTTGTCTTAGTACCTATTTGGCTTAATTTTTTTTCAACTTATCTCTCTCTTAAAAGTAGAAGTTAAATCCAACAAGATTTTGAGAAATTCTTTTAAAAAAAAGTTTTTTTTTAAAGAACAAAATCTAAAAACAAAAAACAAAACTTCGGCAAAAGCTCCAAAGAGGAGCTTTTTTTTTTCTTTTAAAAACATGTCAACTTTTCAGGAGCATTTTTTTGTGTTTCAAAAATACCTTTATCTATTAAAATAATCCCAACATTACCATCTCAAAAATTATTCCCTTTTCTCTCAATCTCAACACGTTGCTTTTTATATTTCTAAAATTTTGTTTTAAATAGATTAAAAAATAAAATTAAAATTTTTTATTGTGAAAAAAAAATTCTTGATTAATTGAATTATTAAATACTTTTTGTGGTAATTTTAATCAAAATTAAAACTTATATAATTTATTTTGTTAAACAGCTTATCTATAAAAAAAAACTTATAAAAATAAATTTATCAAACAATTTTAACTTAATTTTAAAAGTTATTACTTTTCATAATAACTTTTAAATTTTAAAAAAAAAACCAAAAAGGCTTTTAATTGTGTCAATTGCTTAAACTCCTGAAACCGAAATGGATACACAGCTCAAGCCGATTAAAAATTCAACCTCCTTGCTTTTGGACCACTACAATCAATGCAAGTCCCACCATGAATATAAAAGATAATAAAATTATTATTTGTGAAGAAAGTAATGAGAGAAGGGCCAAAACTTAAATATGAGCACAACAATCACAAGGCAAAACCCTAATTTAAATAAAAAGAGCTTCAATTGAACGTTCATCTCGATTTACATCATTAGCAGTTCATTTGTCTCACCGCGACACTTAAGGATCAACCTCCTCTACCTTTGTCATTATCTCATCCCTGTCTCCCACCATCGGTTCACTGCAACCCCATTTTTGGATTGGATTAGACTGTGGTGGAGCTTCGTCACTTGCCTTCTTTAGTTCTGGATTTGGCATTATTCTTGGATAGGGATTGCTGCAGACTGTCAATGTAGAGGTTACCAGCAAATTCTACTGAGTATGAAAAAATAAAGCATGACTTAACACGAGGCATACCTAAAAGAAATACAAAGAAAGAAAATGGACAAATGTAACGATAAGATCAAATCATTGACTGGCTGGTTAACACTAAATTTTAAGGAATTGACCAAACTAATAAAACATACATCAACACAATCATCACTTACAAAAGGTTCACGAATTGTTGGAAAGTGGAATGAACACAATTTACAAGGTCCCCAAAGCTTTCAATCAATGTGACTGGAGCTCCAATGTATGAAAAAGAGAACTTATTCTCATTGAAAGGACAATTATGAGGCCAACCATATTTCAAAAATATTCAACCCATGGTAGGTAAAGTTTTTAAAAGATAAAAAGAGGGAGTTCATTCAAGATGAAAGTAGCTCCTGCAACCAATTCTAAAACTTTAGAAGAGTTGAGGTGGAGAGATAAAGAAACCGAGAGGCTCATAGATACAGCAAGGAAACAAAATTATTGCAAGGTTTTATTACCATATTTTTTCTAATGCTTTGAGAGATTTGGATAGGTGCTTCATGCAGTAAGCAGGACCTGTTGAGCATAGCATTTATTAACAAATCAAAGTATAACTAGCGACCCAAGCATGGAGAAAATTCAAAATCAAATGTATATGGAATCATGCACAAGAAGGTTAATGTACTTTCATTGTAATAAGAAAGAAATGGGGGAAATGAATGCACAAGTATAAGAAACCAAACAGACTTCCTATATGACCAATCTAATATGAAATTAGGGCTTAAAGATATAGTTTCAAATTATAATAACCCCTATATAAGGATTCTCTTAATCACTTGAGGAACACCAACAGATAAGGAATTAAATAGGCACAGGCTTTTGCATAATTGTATGATTATTTAAGGCTTAATTCTAAAGCTTGCTTTAAATACTTCAAACAATTTTTAGAACAATAAAAAAAAAATGAAACAACACTAACAATCTTTCAACCTACAGCTTGTTACAGCCAACATGCGACCTCCGATTTATAAAATTATTGAACGATGAGAACCCTCCAAAAGTGACAACTATTCAGTGCCTTACATCATGTTGCACATTTGAAGGTTTCACAAATTTCACTTTTCTTTGTTAAGTAGTGTTATGTCCTAAATTAATTTGGTTCAAGTCTTTGCTATTACCTTATATTCAAGGCAAGACTTTCGAAATTTTAAATGGCCTTTAATTGAAAATTAGTATTTGTAGTCATGTACTTTGCATGCGAATATTTATATCTTAATTTATTTTTAAATATATAAATAGAAATGTTTAATATGACTACAATTTAGAAATATAATAAACAAAGAAGTCTGAGCCAAGTAAATCTTTTTCTAGTGAAAGTGATTCAATGAAATTAGAAATCTTATCCATGCACCAAATACATCTTATTACTAATAATTTATAATAAGTAAATTATCTTTTCAATCATTTAACTTTTCAAAGTTTTTCATTTTATTGTTATAATTGAAAATTATAATTGAGAAAAATTATATAAAATGGCAATTAAAAAATTAGAGGACAGAAGATGCCCTTTTTGTTAATAAAAACTTTTACAAACATACATGCTTTTATATATATCATAGATAACTCGAGTGTGTATACAAATGGCAAGGTTGAATCAACACAAATAAAGCTAGAATGAAGATAGATCAGCTTGATTCAAGCTAAGAAAGATAAAGCTAAAATTAATGCGGATTCATCGAAGAAGGTACGCAATCCATATGTTCGCGGACTTCATGAACAGAAGTCACTGCTAAACTTGTGTAATTGGTCTTCGAAAACACAGAAAGATTTGCTCTAAGGGTCCATTTGGTACACTGCAATGTAAAGCACATTACCTGCAATGTGGCTTATTAAATTACATTGCCGTGTTTGTTTTGTAACAGATCACTGCAATGTAAGATTGCAATGTAATCATATTACAGCCAATGGATGTAATGTGATTGCAGTCCAAAACCAATGCAATCACATTACATTGCACTCTGTAATGTTCTTAAAGATAATTTTACCTTTCAATTTTATTACCTTATTAAAAATATTTTATAATATTATAATTAAAATAAAAATATTAAAATAAAATATATAATATAAGAATAAAAATTAAAATAAAATAAAATAAAAAAATTAACATTTATATAATATAAGTAAAACAAATTAAAATAAAATATATAATATAAAAAATATATTAAAGAAATGAAAATAAAATATATAAAATTATAATAATAAATAAAAATAAAATATATTTAAAATATGATATTATATAAAAATTAATAATATAAATATAAATATATTAAAAATAAAATATAAAATATAATAATAATAAATAAAATAAAATATATGACATTAAAAATATATTTAAGAAATGATATTATATAAAAATTAATAATAAAAATATAAATATATTAAAAATAAAATATATAAAATTATAATAATAAATAAAAATAAAATATATGATATTAAAAATATATTTAAAATATGATATTATATAAAATTAATAATATAAATATAAATATATTAAAAATAAAATATAAAATATTATAATAATAAATAAAAATAAAATATATGATATTAAAAATATATTTAAGAAATGAAATAAAAAATATAAATATATTAAACTTATATTTTAATAATTAAGGATAATTTTGACAATTAACATTACATTCCCACTAAAGTACTTGTAAACCAAACACTACAATGTTATCTTCTCTACATTTTAATCATTATTTTACTTACATACCAAACACTGTAATGTTATTTTTCCTGTAATCACATTATTTACAATCACATTACTTGTAATCACATTACTTGCAATCACATTGCATTGTAATGTATCAAACGTCACCTTACATCAAGCTGCTTCTAAATATTCTTGGGCTTTTTCTTGGGTCTTCTTGCGGGCCTTGAACCTCTCTCTCATCACAAAGATATTTCTTCGATCTCTTCCCTTGATCCGAAACTTCCTCGTTTCTTTCTTTTCTCCAATCCCTCCATTTTCCCTCGATCTCATCCACTTCGGCGCCGCCGTTTTACTCACCTTCTCCATCGCCGCTGTCGACACCGCCGTCGTTTCCACCACGATCCTCCTCGGCCCCAAATTCCACGGTCTCTGCACCGTCTCCTCCTTTTCTTCTTCAGAGTCATTTTTTCGCGGCTTTAAGCTCGTCTTGTTGTTGTTGCTTTTCTTCTTGGTGGCTTTCTTTGATGGGTTTTGGTGGGGGAGGGAAGGATAAGCGGTGAAGACGGGTAGAGCGTGACCCGACACGTGTCGGACGGAGACGGTCGTGGTCCGAGTCGGATTCAGGAGAACGTCGGTGGTCAGCGGTGGCGGTTGAATAACCACCACCTCAGTGAGTTCCCCATTTCAGAAACGGAAAGTTGAAGTTGTGTAAAGGCTGAGACTTACTGGTGCAGTTGCCATCAAAAAAGTATAACGAAAACCAACAAAAACAACAACTACACATAAACGACCACGCTTCTTTATGAACAAAACAAAGATCCCATAGTCCAAATTCGCTTCTTTCTTTCCAATTCCACCACAAAGTTTGGCAAGCCGCCGTGTCTCTCAGGTGAGTACCAGTCCACTAGCTCAGCTCTTTTGCTTCTAATAATAATCTGTTTATTATTTTCCGTTTGATATGCTTTAGCTAATCTTACAAATTTCTGTTAGATCTGTATTTAGTTTTCTCTTTGAATAAATGGCAAAAGGAAACTTATAGGGATTCATTTGGGTGCATTGATTGGGATTTGATTATTAATCTTAGCTTTTTACTCATTTCCAAGTAATGGGTTTGGTCTTTTTCGACTGATTTTTATGTTTCATTTTATTTTTTGTTAGAGATTATGTTATGGTATAGGTAGTTCTCCCAAAATGGGTACTTATCTTATCATGTTTAAATTGATAGACTGATGGAAATGTTGGTTTTATATTCTTAGGATTTTAGAAGGGTTCATTTGAATTTATGGAGTTGTTAAAATTTTGCTTGATTGTAAGTTTTGATATATACATGGAAATTCATCCCAATATGATCTCAAATTTGCAGGGAAGTTGAAGTTTTGTTAATTTTACTGTTACAGAATTTTTTTTACATGAAACCCTAAAACAATTTCTCCTCAATTTCCTAAACCGGTTTTCCACTAAACCCTACAACCAGTTCCCTTCAATGCTGTAAAATTGGTTTTCTTTGAAACCCAAAACCATTTTCCTAGAAATCCTAAAAGCTGTTTCCCATGAAACTCTAGTACTGGTTCTCCTTGTCTCCCTAAAATCGGCTTTCCACGAAACCCAAAAATTGGTTTTGAAACCCTAAAACTGGTTCTCCTTGATTACTTTCAAGAAATCACTGCTTTGGAAGGTAAAACCATATTATAATCACCATCCTTTTTTATTTAATTATTATTTAATTTTGATTTTCAGAGCTTTTTTTTTTTGTTTTACTTGAAATTTAGTGAAAAGATAAGGAATATTAAGCTTCTATAGTTCTTTAATCCAGTGGTTCAAATTCGATCTGTCATTTTGCTTTTCTGCTAGGTTTAGTGGTATCTGTGACGAAATTGATTCTCTGTGATTAAGGCCAACAGGGAAATTTGTTTCCGATTCTCAATTAGAATATAAAGTTGTGGAATAAGTTCCTTTCCAGCCACGGATCATAAATTTGATATAGTCATATGTTGTTATTATCTAGTTCATGGAGAATAATAGTGTTGCTCTGTGCTGTTTGCTTTGCTTGTGACTTTCTGCAAGAGGGTGGAGATTGTGTGTTTTATAACCAAATAATTCCCACCCCCTCCCAAAAAAAATAGTTGAAGAAATCATGGGAAAATATGATATTCATAGAGATATACATATTCATTGTAGTTGCAACATTCTTGATTGTTGCTCATTAAAATATAATGGGCAAAAAAATTTCAAATGATCTACCTTTTCAATTTGTATAGCACCGTAGTTACTTAAATGTGAAAAAAAATCTACTTTGTCACTGTTTATAGGAAGGAAATTTAGTCAGGCACAAGGACCTATCACCTACGACCATCATGGAAGGTGGTGGGAAATTTTGGCACAAAGCAATTGTTCATTTATCACCTTAAATGCAACTGTCAATACTATATCATCTATATTCTGTATATTATATAAAGTTCAGCTTTTAATCAATAAATGAAGTATTAAATGTCTTTTCTTCTTGAATAAATAAGTATTACATGCTGAGTACATAAATCTTTATATTATACAAAGTTAGGTTTTTGAATAGTACAAAAGTGTTAATTTTTTTTTTTTGAATAAATAAGTATTAAATGTTGGGTGCCTAAAATTTACTTCTACACCCCAAGTGTCAGCAATTAATATTATATGAAACTTTCCTAATTATTTTCACTTACAACACTCGTTGTACACCTAATAATTACTTTCACTTTAATTTTTATTTTCTGTTTGCTGTTTGACGCAGGCTGCTGGAAAAATCTTGATTTGAATTGCTGCTGGGAAAAAAAAAACTAAAAAAGAAGCAATTTTTTATCTACTAATTTTTATCTTTTTAGTTTTTTATTTGTTTAATTCAAAATGGCAACATTAACGACAGCACGACCAACAACAAAAATTTGTCAGCTGACTTGTTTCTCTTCAATCAATCGGAAATTACAGCTCTACTCGCTATCCATTTTTTGTCCAATCACTCGTCCCAAGGTAATTTTATATATTTTTTAATTTATAAATTCAAATGTATGGGTAAAATTGGATTCCTTAACATGTTGTTGATCATTGCTTTATGTGTTTTAATTCCCAGTTAAAATGGAAAACTATTAGCTTTGCAATTTTATTGTATCTTTTGTGGTTTATATGGACATTTAATCTGTTTTTTATGATATGGTTAATTATTTTAGATTCTGTTTTGTTGTTACGGTTTACTGCTTATTTTTATCTTCTGTATTTTTAAGGTGCCCCTAGAAATTAAAGTTTAAGAAATTGTGAATAACAAAAGAGTAATACTCTTTCCATCTAAAAATATTTATTTTCATTGGCTTTTTTCTTGTGAAGTGAACTCAACTTTGATCCTTAATTTTTTTTTTTTAAAAAAAAAACCACATAAGGCTATAAAATTTTTTAAAATTTTGAACCAGAAACGTTTTAAAAATATATTTTTTGAGATTTAATTCTATATGATATTTTTAAAAATGAAGGTCAAAACTAATTTCGTTTGATCTAAAAGGTTAAATGTGGACAAATATAATTGGACAAAGGGAGTTCTTTTGTTTGACAGTTGAACAATTCAATTGCTCAGAAATGGCATGGAAGTAATAAATAACAAATTAATGGTATTTATTTATTTTGATTAGTCCAAATGCTGGATAGGGATAGGACTCCATTCCATTACTTTTTTATCCATTACTTTTCAATACACTTTTAATCATGATTCACATATATAGTACCCATCCATGGAACATGGATTTCGTTATCAAAAGTGATTGAAAAGTGATGGATAGAAAAATATTAGAAGAGAATCAGACTAGTCTGACAGATGAACACTTTAGCATTTCTCATAACAAGAAGCATGAGTTTACTTTACGAAACAATTATGTTCGAATAAGTATTCTTAGTGTTGAATACTATTGTATTTTAGCTATATGTTTACTTTTACTCATACCAAAAGGCATGAGTGTACTTTTGTTAGGCAATTATGTTTGAATATGTATTCTTAGAATTAAATACTTTTCTATTTTAACTATTTGTTTAGTTGAGATTAAATATAATTTTTAATTACAATTTTTTTTTTTTGCTTATTAGCAACTTTTAGGAAGTGAAAAAAGAATTAAAAAGAAAAAAATAACAACTGAATGAAGGCTTATTTTTTCATATTTGCTTAAGTTTTCATGCTTTTGTTTTAGATTAGCAATTGTTGAAATGTTTGAAGGAATGAAGTGACAAGTATTAATTCTGCTCAAATATTAACATAAATGCTAGTCAAATATAAAATAGCAAAAGTTTAAGCGAATATCAGGGTTGTTGATGCTTGAATATCATATTCTTATTGTCTATATGTGTGTGCCTTAGTGTGGATATGCATATCTTTGTGAAGTTTAAAGAAACTGGTCTTTGTGGAAAAATGGAAATGATACTAACTGCTTCAAATTTCCAGTCATTTGTTGTTATGAGTGTTGATGGGCATGGTGCAGAAGCTACTAGTTCTGAACTTAAAACTAAACAAAGACTTGTGGCGGAGGGATCAAAACCATTTATAGAGGAGTCAACTAAGTCATATCTGAATGTAGAAGGGCATGTTCCTGAAAGTACAAGTGAACCAATAGAGGAAAACAATATCATCCAACCAAAAAGGGCAGCTAAAATCCATGATTTCTGTTTCGGTATTCCTTATGGTGAGTATGCAGTGTGAGATTTAATTTGTGCATCTCTGCATGATGCATGTTGAAATATTTATTGAATATTGTTTCCATTGCTTGAACAATCTCTTGGTTGGTCATTTATTTACTCATATGGATGCAAAAATAAAAAAGTTTAGGTATATTGGCATTTGAAATTGCTTTGTCACAATAAGCGTTCCTTTTTTTTATGTCTTCTTTCATATAATTTCATTGTGTTTGCATTGTTTTTGCTTGTAACTGTATCAATCAATTCAGGACTTGTTAATCATCTTGTCATAGATAATTGTCTGTTAGAGTGATTTGCAAATGTTGTGTGTGTATTTTTCTATGCTTGATCTTTATAGCATATTTGCTTTGTCATTTAATTTTTGTCCAATAAATTATCAAAATAACACAATCGGATTCGTGGTGAAAACTTCTAATGTTAATTTATGACAGGTGCTCTTGTTCTAAGTGGGGGGCTTGTTGTTTTTGTATTTTCTAGAAATCCTACTACCATACTCTTTGGAGGTGCTTTGCTGGCCCTTAGCACCTTCAGCTTGAAGATCTGGAGGCAAGGAAAATCAAGTTTACCGTTCATATTTGGACAAGCAGGTATTTTAACTTGTCTGTGGCTTGAGGCATCCTTTGAGAAATGAATTCATAATAATATGACCTTTTTGTACTTTACATTTCTGTAAAGGAAAAATTAGTACATAAATTAGAAGCCATTCAGTACAAATAGGCATCTGGATAATTAAGGATCAAGCAGTGCCCTTCTGATTTAGTTAACGTAGAGAGCCACACATCTACTGAGACCTGTTGTGTCTGTTTGTTATAGAATTCTCTTGAGCTAGGGTCTATTGAAATGCACACTAGCAGAACATTTTTTTAAGAAGTTCATATAGTTGGCTATTTATAGAGAGGAAAAGGGGTGGTTAAGGATATAGTAATATTTGAATGCAACAATTTGAAAAGCAGACCAACAATAAAGCACAGTACATAGCGATTCCAGAAACTTGGTTCAACTAGGGGGAATGTAAAATTATTGCAGACTTTGGTACATGGCGAAGAGACAACAAGGCTTAGTTCTAGTGATATTGGATACAGATATTTGGTTCAAGAAGCTTGCCTATTTATGAGTTCACACCAACAAAGATGCAACATGCTCCAGAAAATAATTTGAATGTTGCAAAATAAAAATAGCCTCCGCATCGTCAGTCATGATGTGTATGCTGAATATTTGAAAATGGTGAAGGTGCTAGATCTTTGCCTGACATATATATATATGCTAAGTGATTTATGATTTGGAAAGTGCACCCTGTTCTGTTATTAAGAATGGGTTGTCTCATTATGTGTGTCTTCTGACCTTGCAGCACTAGCAGCAGTACTTTTCTGGAAGAACTTTCAGACTTATTCATTGGTACTATGACATTGGTGCAAATTATTTATTTTCTCTCTGGCCAAATTTTTCTAACATTGTAATGGTATGCAAATGCAGACAAAGAAGCTTTTTCCAAATGCATTTTATGCTGCCATAAGGTAACTAAATTTAAAGCTGTCAATGCTTTTGTTAACAATGAATCCAATATCTTTAGCGTGAGTTATATTCACATCTTTTTCTCTGGGATAAATTTTTGTATGATGCAGTGCGGCAATGTTGTGCTTCTATTCATATGTGGTGATCTCTGGAGGGAATCCACCCCCAAAGAAGTTGAAATCGTCTGCCAGTCACCAATCTTGATGAGACTGCTTAAAGGTTCTTAGTTATATATGTATCGGGGTCCCCTTTTGTAATTTTGTATTTGGACTTGAACTGAGTTTACTGGTGAATGAGTCCTAGTTGCATTGTTTATGAGTGCAAATTGTGGGTCAACTACAAGTTCAGAAAGGATATTGTTTTCTTTGGTTTGTGGGAAGCAGCATTCCATATAGCAATAATGTTGTGGCACGCTAAATGAGTGCTTTGGTGGATCAATATGTGGCATAATTGCATCTTTCATTAGCATAGTGGCATTTGAATTGTGTAATAGAACTCCTGAACCAGATTGTAAGGAAAAGGAGCTACACAGATATTGCGGAACCAAAATTTGATATGTATAATTTTTTTCTTTTTTTGTGATAAGTGTGACTTAAGAAATTATTTGTATTTGTTTATTGAACAACTTTGTTCTAGTCAGACTAGAGGTTCGTTGTTCCTGCCCATTGCTTTTAGAATTGGCTTTGAAAATTGGTAATAAGTAAATGGAAGAGGGAGGTGATTGTGATTGTGATTGTGGTCTGACACCAAGGTCCCTGCTTCTTGATTTGCTTTTAGGTTGTCTGCGCAGATGTCAGGTGCCAAGTGTCACGGTTTCAAAGGGGGCATGTACTAGAGTATGATTAAGTGTTATTATGTTCAACTTGTGTGGTGCTTTTTGTGGGATAAAGTGATGAGGTTAATAAGTCAAAACAAAGAATACCTCATAGATTGATATTGATCACGATAATTGTTGCCTGAGTTCGATTTTGAGATATTAGTGATGTGTCATGTAGAGTTTTTAAGATTTTTGTAATGTGCTATTTAGGATAGTGTGTCTTTGTTAAAATAGGAGAGTATGTCATGGTGCCATTGAGGATGGTGTGCTTTTGTTGGAGTAGGAGAGTATGTCACGGTTTCAGAGGGAAGTCGTAAATTCTACATTGAATGTGTACTAAAATACAATTGGGTATGTAAATGTTTACATCATTTTCATTTTACGAGCCGTGAGATTTAGTGACTTGAAGTTGGTGAAATTCAGTGGGCCCAAGCGAGAAATGTTTATAAGTTAGTATAAATGGTGACATCAGGACAGAGGATAGGTGATTTAGTCTTTGGACCTTGTTGGAATATATTCTAGTGTCTTCTCATTTAATAGTTCAAAGTTCTTAAACCTTAGCTCCTAGGTGAGTCCAGAATTTATTATATAAAAAAAGGTAAGGTATTTGTTAATTTTGAAATACTTGAATCTTAATTTTATAAAAAATCAACTTTCCTAATAATTTTAAAAATTACTACTCTAATACTATTACATTGTCATTATCTTATAATTATCTTAACCCGTTTAAAAGCTTGATTAGATAAAAAAATTATTAAAATCTTCTTCATAGGTACCCAATTACTCGAACCCGAACTTGTATACATATATAATAATATTTTTTTACGTATTTTATAAAATTATCTATTAATTAAATTAATTAAAACACAAATAATAAAATTTAAATTTAAATAATCAAAAACATTGATCTTAAACATAAATTTAAATAACTAAAAACAAATATCCATGCAACGATATAAACGTAGATAACTAAACATAAAGATCCAAACAAACAACATAAACTTAAATAACTAAAAAATAAATATTCAAACAACATTACAAATTGACAACAAGGCGAGCTCATGAACAGTTTAATCATCTTCCATGTAAGTGTCAACAAGTGTGGCAATTGAATCTTCAATTGTTATATATGATCATACACAAATAAAAAAAATGTATATAACACTTAGGATAATAGATAAATTTTTATAGAAAACAAATGAAATAATAATATAATGAGTTTATTTACCTTTTGTTTTGTTCCTCAACTAATTTTGACTGCACATCAATGCCTCCAAAGTATATGGTTTAAGCTTACTTTGATGGTCAATCACCACTCTTCCACCAATGCTAAAGGTTAACTCAAATGCAACTATAGAAATAGGAATAGTAAAAAATCTCTGGCAATCATTTGCAAAGTGGGATACTTTATCCTATTTGTCTTCCACCAACTCCAAATATCAAAAGTTTTGGTAAATGGCAAAACATTATCTTCTAAATAATGATCCAATTCCGCCTTCACATGCCCTTTAATAGAAGAATTAAGAAATTCATACAACATACATTGATTTAGATCGGATGATTCATCAAATATTGTTGCTAATGAACTTTGAGAAGCCTTTGGTCTTAAATTGGTTGATCTACTCTGGTATTCTTGAAATAAATCATAACAAGTTTTTCTAACTTATTCAATATCATAATTTGCAATACCACCATAAATTTTAAGAAAAAAAAATTCAACCACCTTTATTTTATACCTAGGATCCAAGATAATCGCCACAACTAGCACAATATGAATATCCTTCCAATATTTTTCAAACTTATCAAATATTTTCTTTGCCATTGCACTAATTATCACATTATCATAGCACATCCAATTCACAATTACAATTTAAAGTTTAAAAACTTTGACAAAAAAAAATAATTTGCTGTAGGATACTCTATCTCAGAAAACAATTTAGTGAGATCATAAAACATTTTCAACTTGTCAGCAATTGTTTTGCTCTCTCCCAATCTTCCTCACTAGGCACACAAAAGTAACTTTTGTCTTTAAGGTTCAACTTAGGGAAGAGATCTTTGTATCCTATAGCAATTCAAAGTATCACATAAGTTGAATTCCATCTAATTATACAATCTAGGCTCAACATTTAAAATATGACACTTTAGCTTGACAAACCACTTTTTCAAATTTTTCCAATCTAGATGGACTAGCTTGCTAATATATTACAATATCACGAACATTTTTAATCAAATCTTCAATCACAAATAATCCATCTCTCGCAACAAGATTTAATATAAGTGCACAATATCTCATGTGAAGAATTCTTCTATTAAGTAAAAGTTCAAAACCCAAGTTATTCACTAGGA